TGTTTTTTTTTTTTTTTTTTTTATAACCGTAGTAGGGCTCTTTAGAGAAATACAGTTGAGAGGATGTGTACATAAAGAGAAAAAGATTTATAACAAGGAATGGTCCCAGGTGTCATAGTGTGGGTCTGAAACGTCTTCTAAAAGCTCTTATGTTGAAAGTTTGTCCCCAGGTGTTGGTGCTATTGGGATAGTGAAAACTTTAGTGGATGGGGCCTAGTTGGAGAAGTAGGTTACTGAAGGTAAGCTGTTGTCTCTGCTCTCTATCCTGTCTCTCTTTCTTTTTCCTCTTGGCAATTGTGAGTTGAGCAACTCTGTTCCATGAAGTCCTGTGACCACGATGTCCTGTCTCAGCATAGACTCAGCACCAGTGGAGCCTGTGACTATGGACTGAAAACTCTGAAACCGTGAGCCAAATAAATCTTTCCTCCTTTCAGAAGATTATCTCAGGTATTTTGTTACAGTGACAGAAAGCTGGTGAACCAGGTGATTATGGTGGCTGGCTTTTCCAAATTCTGTAGAACTGGCCAGCACAATGGACAGCTGAGGTATACAGACTTGCCATCCTGGACATGCACACAAACTGATGCTACATCTTCAATTTGAGTTTAAAGCCATTTTCTGCAAAGTATCTGTTGTACTTTGCTAACATGCAGTGTTTTTGTTCTACTGAGCCTTCAACTGATTGAATCAGACCCATTTACATTATGCAAGATGGTCACAGCTTTATTCAATGTTCACAAAGCTAATCTCATTAAAGAAAACACAGGCACACCCAGAAAAACACTTGATTGTCAGATCCCAGTGGCCCAGGGAAGCTAAAGCATAAAGTCACCTATCATGTATTCTTAGGTTTTTTCTGTCATCAGCTTTATATCCACTGCTTCTTCCACTTCACATTTTTGGCTATGACATTATCATTACAGCTTATTTATTTTAAATGATAATAACTATTTACAAGGTACACTGCACTATTTATATATGTATATATTATGGAATAATTCAATCAAGGGAATTAGCACGTATCTATCTTCTCATATATTTGTTATTTTCTGTGGGGTGAACATATAACTGTTTGTTTGGTTTTGGTTTTTTGAGACAGGGTCTCACAATGTAGTTGAGACTGACCTGGAACTCACTATGTAGCCCAGGCTGGTCTTGAACTCATAGTGATCCTCCTGCCTCAGCCTCCCGAGTGCTGGGATTTCAGGCGTGCGCCACCACACCCAGCTGTAACATATAAATGCTATAGGAGTAGATTTTAAGTGTTCACATCATGGAAAATGACAAGTTCTACTTCTAGTCACTTTTGAAATATATATTATACTGTATACTTTACCACAGAATAGCTCTACAAAACCTGTTCCACCCATATAACTGAGACTTTGAACTTGACAACCAATATCTCCCCACTCACCCACCCATAAGTGTGTGTTAACCATTACTCCACGCCCTAATATTATGGAGTTGGATTTCCTTAGATTTCACGTATGTCTTGGTCTGTTTTTGTTATTATAGCAAAACTGAAGCTGTGTATTTGCAAACAAAAGGTGAACATGTTTATTTAGCTCACAGTCTTCACACATAATAGGATGGTGCTAAGCATCTGTTCAGCCTGGTGAAGTTCAGGAGAGACTCAGGAGAAATTCTTGATCTTTTCCTATAACATGCTGTACTTATAGGACTAAATTATTTGCACAAGAACCCCATTGAACTCTTCCAAGGACAGTTCCTGTGGTTACCTCACTCGGCACGCCCCAAAGATCTCACCTCCTAATGTCACTACACTGAGGACCGAGTTTCCAGCATGTAAACTTATGTGGGACTCTTATGGCTTGTATCCAGTGCTTCACTCACTCCCAGGTGGTGTTTTTGGGAAACAGCCGCATCATGGGTGTACGACAACTGGATTATGGCTGTGATGGCTGGTTATTCCACTGATTAGCACAGCTCTCTGAGTGTGGATGATAAGAAAGCCCAACCTGGTAGTAAGTGGCAAAAAACCAATAGGCTTGTAGCCCGAGTGGAGTGAAAAGGAAAAGGAAGGCTCCTTGGCTGGCTGCTTCCTGCATGAGTTGTTTTTCTTCTGCGATACCCCTCTGCCATGCTGCCCTGCCTTGGAGCCAGCTGATTGTGGGCTGAAACTTCTACACACTGTGAGTTAAAATAAATCTTCCTTCATTTAACTTCTGTGTATTGGGTATTTTGCCCCAGTAGTGAGAAAGTAACAAGAGAGGGACACTTCTGAATCATATTCTAGCCATAGTAGCACAAAAGTGAAGTCGTGCAAGACTTGTCTTTCTGTGCCAGGCTTATGTCACCAAGCATAACGTCCTCCAGCTTTCTCTGTGGTTACAAATGACTGAATTTCCATCATTTTTAAAGAGGATTATTATTCCACTGTGTGTGTATGTATGGACACACATGTGTGCACACACGCACACACACACACACACACCAAGTAACATTTCTTTATCCATTCTTCCACCAGGGGATACACAGGTTGATTCCATATCTTGACTCCTGTGAATAATGCCATGATTTAGATGCAACTATAGTTATCTCATTT